CATATATATATATATATATATATATATATATATATAATATATATTTACAAAAATATTTATTTATTTACATTAAACTTCACTTAAATTACAAAAAAAAAAACTCAAAATTTTCACCATTAACCTAATTTTAATCACATTGCAACAAAGCAAATCTGAAATATTTATTAATTATTTCAAATATGTTCAATTGCAGGGTGTGTTTGATAGAGAGGAAAGAAGTAGATGAAAAATAGATAGAAGAGAAAAATAGGAGAATGAAAATAGATAAGGAATAAAATAAAAATTTGATTATTTGATTGAAAAGAAATAGGTGATAAATTATATTATATAAATGTTTATATATTATCAACATCATTATAAAACCCTTATCATTGAACATAATTATAATTAAGATTTCACGACCGAGCTTTTCCGCACCCTTAGCGTACTTTCTCAGGTCCTGTTACTCTCTTAATCATAACTATATTAATAATAAGAATTTTAATTCTAACGCTAATAATAATAAGGACCGTTCAAAAGGATCATTGATCAAATATATTTCTGATGCACAGGTTCCATTTTCATGGCAAGTGCAGAGTATACTCTATATCTAATAGTAAAGCAAAGTATTCTCTCACGGAAGGAAGTCTAAGACATAATCACAAGAATAGAGTTTTCAGGAAAGAAGGAAGTGTTTAGAAACTCATGATAATATAAAACAGAAGTTTTATTTATGGTTGAGGTTCTCTGCCTCTCAACATTACACAAGCAGTCCTTATATAGAGGAGTTGAGCTCCCGGACCTGAAACCATTATAAAATAAACTTAAGGCCATTACTAGTATGGCCAACACTATAGTACAGTGACTCATCCCTAAGGTACAATGATTCATACCTAATGACTCACTACTGTCCTTCACAAAACAATAAATACACACAGATGGCTAAAGATGTAGGGTCACATCTGCCAACAAACTAGTACGTATAGGGATAAGATTCCCTCAGACTCAATAATTTTACAAAAGATGTTAGGTTACATCTTATTAAAATGATACACAACTGGTTGCATAAGATTCCTTCACGTGATGGTCAGAAATTCCATCAGTTAATGCTTAAAGATAGGTTCATGATGCATACTACTTCTCAAAGTTTGATCTCAAATCTGGATTTTGGCAGATTGGCTTAGATCCTAAAGATCGACCAAAAACAACTTTCTGCATACCAAATGCTCATTATCAATGGACAGTCCTTCCATTTGGCCTCAAAATTTCTCCTTCGTTGTTTCAGAAGAATATGGTTCGAATCTTTGAACCTATTCTGCATAGTGCTTTGATCTACATTGATGACATACTGCTATTTTCTCCAAATGAAGAAAGTCATAAAAAACTCCTACAACAGTTTCATCAAATCTGTAACCAATATGGAGTAATGCTTTCATCAAAGAAATCTGAGATTGGAGTCAAAGAGGTCAACTTTCTTGGAATGCATTTTGCTTATGGAAAATATGTCCCTCAACCTCACATTGTAGAGAGACTCCCAGAATTTCCAGAAAAGGATATGACAGTCAAGGAGATTCAACAGTTTTTGGGAATTATTAATTACGTTAGACACTTTATTCCTCCTCGCTCCCTCGCTCCCTCTCCCCGCGTCCCTTTTGCCAGGTGACGTTTCTTCTTGCTGTTTAGATTTGCTTGTTTGCAATTTCTGCTTCCCCCACCTCCTGGCCCCTTCTCTCTCCATCGCAATGGGTTTTAGAATAACCTAGTGCCGTCAGAATCATGCATGTGTAAAGTTAGTAGCTTTAGGGGTATGTGTCAAGTTTATAGTTTCAGAACAACTCATTTGCTCCTGCATGTGTGAAGTTAGTAGCTTTAGGGGAATAGTGGCAAAGTCTTGTAGTTAGTACTAGTAATTTTGATTAGTGATTTCTGAAGTTGCAGTTGCTACTTGTGGTGATAGCATATTGTACCGCTATGGATGGTCAAACTAAAAATTTTTCCAGTTCTACTTAGAGCTATCAAAACGGGCTACCCGGCCCGGCTCGACCCACCACGGGTTGGCCATTTGGTGGGTCAACCCAACCCGGCTCATTTATCAGTGAGCTCAAAAAAATCAAACCCGGCCCGGCCCACCACAGGTTGGTGGGTTAAACGGGTTGGCTCACCTTTAAAAAAAAATAATCTCCAATGGATAAATATAATCCAAAATCATAAAAATTACAAATCACAATCTAACATTAAATCATTATTGTCTCATGTTGGACTGCACCATGGCCCAATAATTATTGTATTTTTTCAAAAGAAAATTTAATCACGGGTTGGGGGGCCAGCCCGACTCACCACGGGTTCAACCCGGGTGAGCCGGGTTGTTAGTGAGCCGGGTTCAAATTTGACCCGTATTGAAATTTTCAAATTTTTTTCAACCCAACTCGGCTTGAACCCGTGGTGAGCCGGGTAGGCTCATCAGGCCAAGCCCATTTTGACAGCTCTAGTTATTTCCCCAAGTTCCACTCTTACTCATTGCACAAATTTGGGTTGGAAAATTTATTTAATTATTCATAATGTTCTTTCATCTCCATCGCAATGGGTTTTAGAATAACCCAGTGCCGTCAGAATCATGCATGTGTAAAGTTAGTAGTTTTAGGGTTATGTGTCAAGTTTGTAGTTTCAGAACAACTCATTTGCTCATGTAAGGACCTAAGTACATTTTGTATACCTTGCATTATTGGTAATAGTAAATTTGAAAATACCATGCTTGATTTAGGAGCTTCAATTAATGTTATGCCTCTGTCCATTTTTAAATATCTGTCTCTTGGACCTTTACAACCTATAGGTGTGGTCATTCAGATGGCCAATAGGAGTGTTGCCCACCCTACAGGTTTTGTAGAAGATGTCTTGGTTCGAGTTGGTGAACTTATTTTCCCTGCAGATTTTTATGTTCTTGATATGGAGAAGGGATTCTCCTATGGTTCTGCCCCAATCATTTTGGGTAGACCATTTTTGAAAACAGCCTGGACCAAGATTGATGTTTTTGCTGGCACCTTGTCTATGGAATTTGGTGATATTTTTGTTTATTTCAATATTTTGGATGCCATGAAATTTCCTTCTAAAGATCATTCTCATTCTATTTTTGGTGTTGAATTGATTGATGATATAATTGATGAGCACATTCATGATTTAGATTCCTTTCATGTTAAGAAACATTCATTTTTATCTGAATTGTATAACTGTTTTTCATGCATTGAATCTAAATCTGAATTTGGAAGTGATCTTGATTGTGATGATGCATCTGAATTCGATACTTTGGGTGTTGTACCTCCTGGTCTTGATTTTATAGAGTCAGAGTGCACTAACCATGTTGCAGGAAGTACAAAAGAATCTGACTTGCAGGTTGAGGTACAAGCTGCGAAACCCCTTCTCCCTTCTTTGGTTCCTTCTGATGTTCAGCCAATACCCACACCAGAGTTGAAGCCTCTTCCAGAGAACCTCAAGTATGCTTACTTGGAGGACGATGAAAGATTTCATGTGATCATTTCTACATCCCTTGATGCTGATCAAGAGGATAGGTTGTTGCATGTGCTCCGGAAGCACAAGAAGGAAATTAGTTGGACCCTGGCAAACATTCCTGGAATTAGCCCATCCACGTGCATGCATAGGATACTATTGGAGGATGGAGCTAAACTAGTGAGAC